TCCCTATTTTACCCAGCACTGGGTTGTATTTAACCCAGCATTTTTTAGAGTGTAGGGTTAGAGTTGGAAAAGCTTATTTTCCTGTGATTATGCATGCAAATGCCCTTCACATGAACAATATTAAGAGTATCAATATTGCATGTGTGCAGGGGTGAGTATGCGCTGGCAGAATACACCGAGGTCAAAGCCATCACTATCAAACTCAGCGAGCAGCTGACACTGTGATCTGCCAATCAACAGATGAAGAAACTCTGGCTTTACCTTCAGTCTCACGTCAGCTCCTTTCTGTTTATTTCATGTAGATGTGCTGTACAGATTGAAAAGAAAGTTTGTGTTTTTTTTTACTTTTATTTAATTTGGATGTTTTATTATCAAGCAAAGTCATCCATCATCTCTCAGTATTTACTAAAATATATATATTTTATGTAGTTTTATTGCTATAGATTCACATGCAAACCATTTTCACCTCCACACAGGCTTTGCTTCTTTTGTTTTGGAGGTTCAGTTCGTCTTCGAGGTTTTAAAGGTCTCCTGTCATGGCAGCTAAAATCTAAATATGTTACCAAGGATAGTCTTTTATGTGTAAAAATCCGAGTTTCTGATTGCATTTTATAAATAATCATGTAATCCGTCTTAAACCTGAGGTTTAAATTAAATTAAGTCATCTCTGCTCCACTAGTGGCACCAAACAGAATTGCAGAAATGATGTAACTGTTACTACATTCTCTTTGTGAAGCTGAATGCAAACTGAATTGAGGAATAAATTTCTGCACTGTATATGTACAGTGTGTTGCCCTGCATATATTAATGTATAATTAGAATTAAAAGTGATTTCCTTTTCTAAATGTACATACACATCCTATGACAGGTGAATCAATGTTATTGCTTAAAATATATTGTTTACTTTGACTTATTAAATAGCTATTGATTAAAAAAAAAAAAAGCTGAATAAATAAATAAAAATTCATATGAATTATCTGTTTTTTTGTCATTTTGATCTGTTGTACAAGAAGTAAACACACACACACACATAATATATGTATGTATATATTAAATCAAATTAAGCAAGATTCATTTTAGATTTAGATACAAAATACTGATTCTTTATTTATTTTTTCCTGTATTCTTTTCGATAAAAACAATAGTTATTGAAAGGGGGGAAAAAGAAAAATGATTTCAGTCCACATCTTGATATTTTTTGTGTTTTCAGTTTTTTCAAAATAAAAACATTGAAAATAAAATAAAAAAAAATCAATAAAAAATAACAGTAAGACATACATAAAAATCTAAATTCAGCAGAAAAGGCAATAAAAAGTAGATCAAAATTGTAAAAAAAGAAAAGAAAGGTTTTAATTTGATTTCAGTCTACATCTTGATTTTTGTATTTTTAGAATTTTAAAAATACATTGGAAAAAATATTTTAAAAATGTATCAGAAAAGGCCATAAAAAGTGGAGCAAAACTGTAAAAAAAAAATGTTTTTAGCATTTTAAAAATAAAAACATTGAAAAAATATATTTTAAAAAATCAGCAGAGAAAGCTATAAAAAATGTTTTAATATGACTTGTACATTACAAAAAGAAAAAAGTTGAAAATTGTATTTAAAAAAAAAATCAAGCCCTCTGAACCCCTCTAAAAGTCTCATTGTTGAACAAATAGCCTTATATAAATCGAAATCTAGTGTGTCCTCTTTCGCAGGCTATAGATTAATGTTTGTTTCTACACCCGAGGGCCAAATGTTTGAACACGTGCACACACATACAGTGAAACATGCCTTGTGAGGACGCTCGAGGTGAAATAAACCGGGCAAATCATTTCGCTAATAATCATGTAAACAGGTTTCTGTGGGTGTATAAATATACGAGAAAGAATTTCCTTCTTTTGTTGAACACAAAAGATGATACAGTATTGTATGATACAGAATGTGGGTCACCAAACAACTGCTGGTCCCCATTGTCTTTTTTTTTTTCATAAAATATCCAGACATATTTTCGTTTGTGTTCAGCAGAAGAAAGAAATTCCTACAGGTTTGTAACAACTTTTAGGTGGGCTACAAACCTAAATGAACTGAAACAGCAGAAGTCTGCGGAAATCCCCCGGCGGGTTAGATAGAGAGCAGGCGGAGCGCAGACTGTCTGACTGGCTCTCAGCTCCTCAGGAAAGTGTGTCTCTCAGAGTCAGATCAGGAAGTAGAGATCTGTGGTGTGATCCGCGCGAATCCGCCGAACTCATCCAAACCGAAAGCAGCAGAGGCGCCCCGCTTTAGTCCGCGGTTTACAGCACAGGTCTTGTATTCAAGTGTGTGGTAAGTACGCTAAACTATCTTCTGATGTTGACTAGACTCTGCATACTCACCTCAACTGCGTTATTCGCGACGCGACGCGACGCAACACGCGCACAGCCTTGTTTGTAGATCTAGCACGTCGTGCAGCGTTTAGCGTGCAGGTGAGATACGCTAAACAGACGAACAGGTGAGACTGGGGCAAGTTGTCACACGGGGAAGTTGCCACAAATCTCAGTAACTCTGAGGTTTGGAGTCAGAAGTCCATAGGTGTGTTTGTTTGTTTGGTTTTTTTCTAGCAGTGGTTTTGCACGTTGAAGTGTTCGTGCTGTTCATGAATCGTTTCGTTTTTGTGATCGTTTTAATGCTTAAAGTTTGCATATAGTTTCCATTGTGACAACTTACCCCGTACATCCGCCTGGGACCCAGGCATAGACTTCTGTCCTCTGTAGAGGACATTATATTTGAGTGAATTTCTCTGAGACCCTACATGCCACAGTTTTAAGTCTAGATGTCCTGTACAGAGCACATTCAGGGATTTTTTTTTTGGAGATATCAGATGTTTGGAGTTTGATCATAAACACTCCCTCTCCTTGGTCTTTTAAAATGACTTGAATTGACAGAATGATCAAATTTAGCACTCATATGGTAATATTTTGTGATTATCATTTAAATCTGGCAAATTTTCAAATTGTCCGCCTGGGACCCAGGCATAGACTTCTGTCCTCTGTAGAGGACATTATATTTGAGTGAATTTCTCTGAGACCCTACATGCCACAGTTTTAAGTCTAGATGTCCTGTACAGAGCACATTCAGGGATTTTTTTTGGAGATATCAGATGTTTGGAGGTTTGATCATAAACACTCCCTGTCCTTAGTCTTTTAAAATTACTTGAATTGACAGAATGATCAAATTTATCACTCATATGGTAATATTTTGTGATTATCATTTAAATCTGGCAAATTTTCAAATTGTTTGTCGTAAAAAGAAAAACATCTTGTGTTGTGGGTTTCAAATCGGAATATGGATTTTTGTTATATGAAACGGCATCATTTTCACACATGTCTTCTGTAGAGGACACCAGGACAAACGGCATGTTAATCAGGAATTTTAGGGAAACACAGGAACATTAATATGCTAATTAGAATCAGTGTATAGATACATTGTATAGAATGGGAATACCAATTTCTGGACATTTTACGCACATATTGCATAATGGTATATCAAATCATTCTGTTATATCTTTCATAACATTGAGAATCATCTTTGTACAAAATTTGGTTAAAAATAGCCTGAAACCTAAAAACTGGTTGGTGAATGAAAAAAATAAAACATTGTTTTTGGCTATTCATGCCTTTTCATGTCTATTTCTATTTATTTTTTTAATAACTCAGTCCTGGCGTCCTCTACAAAGGACTTAAAATATGAATAAAAATGTTTTTTCTCCATTTGTTTCTTATGCTCCAACCAATGTAATGACATAAAAAAAAAAAAAAAATTAACCCAAAAAAATGTCTGGTCCTCAGGAGGATATTGTGACAGCATGACCTGCTATTGGGCCAGAGTGTGTTCAGTGGGCCAAATTATTTGGGGATAACAATATAAATGTTTAATAATTCATATTTTTGCAGTTAAAGTTTGTGTCTAAAGCAGATTAAACGTTTAAAATTAAACACGCAGTGGGAAAGAATCACTGCAGTGTATGTGACAACTAGCCCCGGTGTCTTCTACTTGACTAAGCAGAGTTGTAAACTTTAATAGCTGGAGTATAATTCTGGCCAGTTAAGTACTGGTACCATTCGATACTTTGATGTGGTGTTGAATGTTTACTATGGTATGCTTGATTTCATGGGACACACGTCCATTCTTTCAAAACATTTAATTACAAAATGAGAGTCAAAATGTGTCGGGTCGTACCAGCGCTGCAGAGGTCACTGGTTAAAATTCAATGTAGCCTACTGTAACTCACAAAAGAAAGCTTGTTTTGTGTGTAACCAAATGACCAATGACCTCAAGCCAAGGAAAAATGAGTCACGTCTTTAGCTGGCACAACACTCTGAAAAAGGGTTTTGCTGGATGCGCCGGCTTCTTGCGGTGGATTGTAGACGTCTGGAAGAACTGGTCAAATGGACAGCTGGCCTATGGATTGGGCTGGCTTCTTGCTCTCATAATTGAAAGCGAAATATCAGTAGACTTCCTTAACATTGGACTTCTTTAAAAAGATTGGCAGTGGCGTTATGTTCGAGGAACTGCAAGTCTCAGATGCCTGTTGTGTCGCTTCCTTGTTGGATTTTCATATTCAAAATGAATCATCATATTCAAATAAAACATTGTTCACAAACTGCTATTTCTGAGAGAGAACGGATATTCAACAAGAGAAAACACAGTTTTGGACTTGCACCGTTGGAAGAGTGCATTTCAAAAGAAGAAGATCACAAAGACAGTTTTTTGCTTTTTTTTTTTACAACCTGTACTAATAAATGAGACCAGGAATGTGCATTAAAAAGAGTTTAACTTTATTTCATGTTGCCTTTAATGTCAAAAGCAACAAGTCTGTGACATGTTTTATGATTTACCTTAATGCAGTCAGTGTTTATCTTTAATGAAGCAATGCAATTAATATTCCAAAATGATCAATATTCTGTTGCATTCTTCATAATGTTGTCTGGTTACGTTTCACTTGTCTACCAGTTTAAACAGTGTCTCTGCGTTTTGTTTTGAAGACAAACAAATGGATGGATGTCATGCAGTCTGTTCCTGAAGGGGCATTTTATGTATCTTCAGTCAAAAAAGACGTCTTCCGAATGACACGGCAGCTTGCAGCCTGAAATATGTCGTCGTACTGGTACGTCAAAGAGACTGCGGATCCAGGCGGCAGCACCAGCAGCATGGAGGAGCAAGCTGGTAAGAAACCTTCACACATCCAGCAGGGTGCAAAAGTAGTTTTAAATTAAATTAAAAATCATGAAAAAATTCTAATATTGAATAAATAATTGTAATAAATAAATATTATTAATAGTATAAATAAATTATTAATAATAAATACATATTAAATATTTAAAGTGATTATTTGATATTTCGGTATCAATACTAAATCAATAAGATAGGTGACAAATAAGCAGCCTCAAAAGATAACTGCTAAATGAATCTTTCAAGCATAAATATATAAACAACAGCACTTCTCAGTGCTCCATACTCAGTAAAACTGAATAGATCCAAATAAAATTTTATTTTTTATTATTTAACTATTACTGAATAACTACTATTGCATTATACAAAATGTGCAATCTACCTAGAAAAAGCGAAACATTACATAGAACAAGTGTCAAGATTTATTACTTTGCATTTACACTTTGCATTTTCACTTTAAATGCAAACTATACAGTTTGCATTTAATGCACAGATCTTTGACATAGGCTGTAGTATCAGTTTATTTCCCCCCATCCGTTACATTGCTTATCACTGTCGGATTCTTTGCAATGTGTATTATGTTCATAGAGTGCTCCCATTATAATCCCTGAAGCGGACAACACTGCACAATGAATCTCTTATCTGCATTGTGTTGTTTTTTTATAATGCAGGGATTCATGAATGTGCTTTGGCTGAACTCGTTTAGAGGTCGCTCTATACAAACTCCAGCGTTTTCAACACTGTTGAGTGGATTCGGACCATCTGATTGGTCATTACGTTCACATGCTCAACAGAAATGTCCGTGATTGGCTACTTTGCTCAACGCTGCAAAAACACATCATAAATAGAAACCTTTGATGCTCTTCACAGAGCGCTCACACAAATACACACTGGAGCATCAACATTATATCAATATTCACGATATTATCTTATATTGCCATCACAATTATCTTGCAGAGTGAGTTTTATCTGTTTGCTCCAGCTTGTTGTCACATTTGCTGATATTGCATCAGTTTGAGTTACACTGCCGCACACAACTGAAATACCGAAACGAGCCAAATCATGATATTCAGGGTCTTAAAAAGTCTTAATTCACCTTAAATCGGAGCAGAAAGTCTTAAATTGATAAAGTCATGGCACTGCAAAAATGAATATCTTCCTCAATCAGGGTATCTTCCGATCATTAATTTTTTTATTTAATATTGAAATCTGAAAAATGAAAAAACGGCACATATTTCGTTTTTCAATTGTTCAAACAAAAGGGATAGAAAATGAATATGCAACTTGAATATTCGATCTCTACATGTGGGCGGGAATGAGACGCCCCTCTCCGCTGATTGGTCAACCAAACATTACAACATAATAATAGTCCTAAAAAAACGTAATAATAGTCATCCGCTTCTATTGATTCTTAACATGTTTATTTCTACTACATTTAATCTCTTTCTCTTCATCAAACAGCCAGATTAACGAATGGCTTGACACAAACCGTA